TTTGTCTTGCTTTTTGAGGTCGTGCTGCTGCTGCTGTGTCTGTGCGCCTGTGCGTGCGTGGCCAGGCACCGACGCGTGCGTGTCCGGGCTGCGGCTCGCTTGCACCGCCCCATTTCGCTTTCCCTGCTGTTTTTTCGCTTGTTTTGCGACGTGGAAGACAGCAACCTGCGCTGAAGCAAGTGAAAAAAAGAAGATAATGTCACGGGCGAAGGAGACCGCGCGGAGCAAGAGGACCATCACGTCCAAGAAGAGCAAGAAGGCCCCCAAGGCCCCTGGCGCGGCGACGGGCGTGAAACACGCACAGCGCCGCTGGCGCCCGGGAACCGTGGCGCTGCGCGAGATCCGCCAGTTCCAGCGCTCCACGGACCTCCTCCTGCAGAAGGCGCCCTTCCAGCGCCTGGTGCGGGAGGTGTCGGGGGCGCAGAAGGAGGGCCTGCGCTTCCAGAGCAGCGCGATCCTCGCGGCGCAGGAGGCGACGGAGTCGTACGTCGTGTCGCTGCTCGCCGACACCAACCGCGCGTGCATCCACAGCGGCCGCGTGACGATCCAGCCGAAGGACATCCACCTGGCCCTCTGCCTCCGCGGCGAGCGCGCGTAGGCGTGCGGCGGCGGCCGCCCCTCTTCTCGCCCTAGACGGAGCAGGGGTGATGGGGGCGGGCGCCCGCACCCACGACGCCCCCTCACCTTGTTTTCATCGCCTGTGTTCTGCCCGTCTCGCGCGCTAACAGCCACGCGGCGTGCGTGGGCCGGCTCGGCGCTCCCGACGCGAATGACGTCTCCGGATGCTGATGCCCCCGCCGTGTAGCGCCTGCGAGTTGCACACAGCCCCATAGATTGGCTCTTGTTTTCTCGTTTTGTTTTGCTTTGTTTTGCTTTTTGAGGTCGTGCTGCTGCTGCTGTGTCTGTGCGCCTGTGCGTGCGTGGCCAGGCACCGACGCGTGCGTGTCCGGGCTGCGGCTCGCTTGCACCGCCCCATTTCGCTTTCCCTGCTGTTTTTTCGCTTGTTTTGCGACGTGGAAGACAGCAACCTGCGCTGAAGCAAGTGAAAAAAAGAAGATAATGTCACGGGCGAAGGAGACCGCGCGGAGCAAGAGGACCATCACGTCCAAGAAGAGCAAGAAGGCCCCCAAGGCCCCTGGCGCGGCGACGGGCGTGAAACACGCACAGCGCCGCTGGCGCCCGGGAACCGTGGCGCTGCGCGAGATCCGCCAGTTCCAGCGCTCCACGGACCTCCTCCTGCAGAAGGCGCCCTTCCAGCGCCTGGTGCGGGAGGTGTCGGGGGCGCAGAAGGAGGGCCTGCGCTTCCAGAGCAGCGCGATCCTCGCGACGCAGGAGGCGACG